ACTTCTTGAAGGCCCGGTACATTTCGGGCAAGAAACCGACGGTACCAAGACCGAAAAAGTGTTGGGTATGGCCGGCCTGCCCAGGGGGGTATGACATGGCGGCCTGTGAGTGGCCCAAACTTTGTGCCACACACCCCTTGGCTTGCTGAGCACACTGGGCGCTGTGAGAACCTCAGCATGCTGCACAGCAGGCAGGTGCCTTTATTGCAGCTAACTTATGCCAATACCCTGAAGCATCACTACAAGCTTGTCCTGGAGCTTGCAGTCCATGCATGCATAATGTGCTGCCAGTGCAAGAACCACGAAAATCACATCTAGTCCTTCTCCTGGTTGCATTGCAATCAATCAATCCGCTCCAACGCGGTGTGCCAGTCCGCAGACTCCTGATGATGAGCTGCGTGTGGCCAGATTATTCATCAAAAAAAAAAAAAATGGTTGCATTGCAATTTTGGTAACTACAACTGAGTTGGACGAGCGGTTAGAAGCATGAGGTCACCAGCAGTTGCTAGTTATTGCAATATTGAGGAATTGCACAACAGACGTATTCAATTGGACTGAGCTCCGTTCTTGCACAGTTTTTCTAAAACAACTATCATTTAGCTTTAATCACTTTGAATTCACTTCTTACTACGGTTCCTCACGCCGAGTCTACTAAGCTGATCATGGCGCCAAGAAAATTCTGTTACGTGGTTCTAATGGCAATGATCTGGGTGCATTCTCTGGATGAAGTTACTGCAGTAGGAGGTGAGTGCATTTTCGCACGAAATGTTTTGTCACATACTGCGTTGAATCAAGGATACATTCCTTTTGATAAAGTCAGTCCTCTGGGGCAGCATTGCTTTGGACTAGCTTTGAGAGCTTGTTGTGCGGGAATCAATGTGCACAGCATTGTGATAGACCGGGGGGGTTTTGCCCCCTGAACAAGTGCTTCTCTTTTGGGCCTTGAATGCAATCTGAACTACCTCAACAAGAAACCAACCGAAGTTGCTGAAAGTCTCGTTGTGACCCCATACCGTCCGCTTCAAGAACTCTCATGAAGTTAACAACCCCTGACCTCATACATCAATCGACTCCGTCAGAACGCGACCTTATGATCTTGGGTATGTGTCGAGCGTGAACTCCGCCACTTTATGTAGAGTCAAAAATCGTGTTCACTAGAATCGCAGCTTTTGACGTGACAATATTCAGACTGTTGAAGCCAATGTTGCTGAAAGTCCAACGGTAGTGTGTCTCTAAGCTGCATCGCCATGGTAAGCAGCATCTATTCCTCCTGTTCGGTTTTGGCTGTGCAGAGAGTAGCTGGTCTTTGTCACAGAAAGACTTTCTCTGACGCTGACAGCACTGAAAACTTGCATTGCCCCTTTTCCCCAATGTTTGAAGACTTAAAAGAAACATGCGTACGCTCTTGCTTAACCACTTGGCTGAACACACAATGTTTTCACTGAGGGCAACCAAGCCGCTTAAACACACCATCAAGCATCAACTACCCACCTCGAATTCTCTTATTCCAGAATCCCAAATACTGGCTCCACACCCAAGCTAAAAGTGCACTGTGCACGCACTTTCTCGCTCAACTAAGAGTGCGCTTCTTCCCCTGATTGATGCAGCCAGGTCGCTGCTACAAGGCCCTGCTCCCGCACCCGTCGCTCCCACAGGAGCTGCCGCAAGCCCTACAAACCTTACGCCCATGGCCGCACAAGGCCCTGCTGGGAGCGTCAACGCTACCGCCCTCCTAAATCTGCCTCAAGTCTGCCTGTTTCAGCAAGGGTTCGTGTACAACAAGACGGGATCCGGGGCCTCCAAGTTGGGGACGTGCGTTTTTGAAGTGTGGGATCTGGAGTTCTTGGAGATCCTCCCTACCAACCCGGTCATAACGGTACGAGAGCTAGCGGCTGGACTTCTTTATGGAAGCAAGCCTGGGCTATGTTTGGTTCAGAGCGAGACAGATCATGATGGTTCAAGAGTGTGGCGGGCTCTGATAATGGCGGGCAGCATGGGTGCCTCATGCTTGCATGAAATGAACGCTGTGCCCTTTTTGGTTCGGGGCAATCGACGAGTTTCGATCCGGTTGTGAAAACGCAATTTCTGAACACACAATGCTGTTCCTGATCACCTTGCCTGCGCGTGTGCAGCTGAGCATGTGCAGATCCTCCACTCTTTGAGAAGTTACTCCACTTGCTGCTTGTATCTAGTTCTGCTTATCTATACCCTTGACTAGATCCCTGTTTTGGGCGACCATATTGTCAGAGCGCTGTCGAAAGTCCTGAAAAACTGTGTGGCCCTGGATCCCAGAAGCTCTAATCGCAAGTCTTGGGCCTTTTAAGCTTGGAACCTAAGAAACCGAACTCTAACAAGCTCAGACCAGACACTTATAATCCACTACCAACGTAGCAAGTTCAAAGGCATCGTCCTTCTTACAGGAATTGGCAACTGCCCCCGCACACGAGGCCGGCGTATACTCCCCCTCCGATAACAGCGTCTTTGTGACGAGCACACTCAACAAAACCACTGGCAATTCCATGCTGATGAAGGTGGACCTGTCGACCGGAGCGGTGAGCTTTCTCTAGTCTTATTCCAAATCGGAAGTTGGTATTGTCCTCTATTGAGGGCCTGCCTTTCCCTCCAGCGCTTCCGTGCATGTCGGTGCTTTCTCTCGTTTTCCCACTTCGGTCTCTCCACCTTCGCTGCAAAAAGTCCGTCTCTCACGGCGAGGAGAGAGTCGAACAAGCCCGTATCATTTGGAGATCTTATCCGGCGCCAAATCATCGTTTACGTTTTCCTTGCACTTTGGCGCAGTCTTGAGGTAATGCAAATTCGAGCGACGCTGGATGCGAGTGCAGCCGAACGAAAACCTTCGCAGTACGCCTGCCACTCGTGCATGCAGACCGCCTTGAAAAGTCGAAACCCCTCTTCATTCAAACCCTCTTTGACACGAATGTTTGTCGAAACAAGCTAGGGGAATTCAGAAGCCGGTTGGGAGGTCCAGATATTCAGGTTCTGTGCACATTTCACAACGTTGCCAAACGTCGGAGAGTCATGCTGATCGCGGGAATGCATACTGGGTCCGACCGAATTGCCAGTTCACAGCATCGCAGCCAAATTTTCAAGGCCTCCTCTGGACAACTTGTCGCCCTGCTCAATGCGTTTGAGCTCATCACCAACTCCCAAATGCGTCCTGCCAATCAAAGCCCAGTTCTGCTGACCTGACGTTTCGGAACTAAGACCGCGGGCTCAGCCATCCCAGCAAGTTTGGCCTCGCACGTTCTGCAAGCAATGCTTCATCTGCCAAGCCGAACGAAAGATGATTGTTTCCCAAACTTCTGATACGAAACTCGCGTGCATATAATTCACCCCAAAGCTCGACGTTCCCCAGGAAAGTAGACGTTGTCGACCGGTTGTGCCGCCTAAACCCTTCCCAAACCCCGCAGGTGATCTTCCTCTCAACAGGACCAATGTCCAAACCTCTTCCTCAACATGCAGGTAACCTACGTCCTCAACCAGACTGCGGGCGCCAATGGCGCGATTCTCGCCTCCGACGGCGCCCTGATCCTCTGTATGCAAGGCAGTACAGCAATCCCCGGGCACCTTCTTCGGTTGAATCTTTCTACCGGGCAGCAAACGGTGATTGCGGACAACTGGTTTGGATTAGAGTTCAACAGCCCAAATGACGTCGTGGAAGGCCCCGACGGCAGCTTTTACTTCACCGACCCTTCGTATGGCTAGTGAGTGCGGCTGGAATCTGTCTTACATCAGGTTCCGGCATTGTTGCGGATTTTGGGTACAGTTTGAGCGGAATCCTTGGTTATTATCAGGCTTTTCCATTTCGGCGTTCGGTGAAGTTTGGGTCTAATGAAGTCAGGCTTGTACTTTACCAATCGTCAGGCTAGTAGAGGTTGGCCAGGTATAGCTTCGTTTGGCTTCGCTTGTGCTCCGGCTGAGCTTCAATCTTTCGTATTGAGTACGCCTATAGCGGTTCTTGTGGTGACAGACTAGGTTTCTGCTTAGCTTTGTGCTAAATCTGGATCCGCTGCGGGTAAGTCTGGTCCGTTTGTGGTCAAGCTTCGTCAGCTAGCTACGCTTTGGTTGATTCTTGGCTCGACTTTCATTTGGTTTTGTTTTCGAGGCTTTCGAAGTATTTTTTGGATTTTCGTCCGTGCTGGAACGTGTGTCCCCCCTAAGGTGAGCAAACCTGTCTCATACAATATCCGGAATCCAGCCGGATCAGGAGAACTGTTCCCCAACTGGCCCGCCGTTCCGAATGTTAAGTAACATTGCGTTCCCGCCCTACCGATTCCATCTGCTTCGGAGCCTGAAGCGCCCTCACATCCAAACGCTCTTCCAGCGGGCAACGTTTTAAGAGATCCCCTCGAAGGTTTCATTCCATATGTCCCCTTTAAAACCCAAAACGCCCTCGCAACTGATAGCGCGTTCGTCCCTTCCAGCGAGCAAGGTTTCAAGAACCCCCCCAGACGTTTCAATCGTTTCACAAAAAGGGAAACCCCGAAGCAGTTCTACATCCAAATGCTTTTGGCTCTGCTAGCGAGCAAGGCTTCAAGAAACCCCCCCAATCGTGTCGCTCCTTACTCATCCTTCCAAGCCCGAAGCGCCCTAAAATTGCAGCGCTCAACCGTCTCTTCCAGCGAGGAAGGTTTCAAGAACCCCCCCCAGACGTTTCAATCCTTTCACAAAAAAGGAAACCCCGAAGCGGTTCTACATCCGCACCCTTTTGTCTCTCGCGAGCAAGGTTTTAAGAACCCCCCTCAGACAAATCTCCCCAATCGTGTCGCTCCTTATTTATCCTTCCAAGCCCGAAGCGCCCTAAAATTGCAGCGTTCATTCGTCTCTTCCAGCGAGCAAGGTTTCAAGAACCCCCCCCAGACGTTCCAGTCCGTGTACCGGGTGCTTCCGTCCGGCCGGGTCGATGCCGTGGCGGAAGGCCTTTTGAAGCCCAACGGAATTGCCTTTTCGCCCGACTACGCGCAGTTGGCCGTAACGGATACCGGATACGCGAGCGGGTGAGGCAATGAAATCGTTTGCCGTTAACCAGACCTCAACCAGGATACAGGCAGGGTCCTAAGTCTGCCAATTATAAGAGGATCAGCCCTGGTCAAGTCCGCACACCTCCTGTGAATTGTGACCGGTCGAAAAAGCAGAAGTTTGAAAGTCAGTTTGCCCCGATGTTGATGTTTTTTGTGGCGAACGATCTTCGAACGGCTCTATGCGCCCATGAGAAAGGTAAGGTGAGCTGGTTTTTAACAGTGTGTTGGCCTTCAGATGCTGACGTCGTTTTTCGCTGACGGGCTTTGTTCTTTCGGGTCTTTTGTCTTTCGTTGTCACGCTGTTTTTGGTGATGAGGCAGACATGGCGTGGGCAGCGTTGGCATCTGCAAGCTGTAGTCCTGGAAAGATAGGAGGTTTCTATCGTTTGAGCTTTACGTCGTCATTGACGATCACCTGTGCTGGAGTGTCTTTTAGTCTGGGTCAATTCAGAAACAACAATTTTCAGTATATCTAGCGGTGGCAACGCGGTGACTCCTTTTTATTTTCAAGGCAGTAGTAGATCAGATTGCGCATAGGTAATTTCGGAAGAAGGTGCAACACGCTCTCCCTTCATCTCAGCATCTTCATTTCCTGGAGCAATCTTGAGAAAGTCCGTCCTTTGAATACGATACGAGCATACTCAAGCAACCGATCTTTTTTCCTTTGCAGTTTCGGGACGAATAACGTCACACGGCCGCATTCAGTGTACGTGTATGACGTCACCCCCGGCGGGCGCCTAACTAACAAGCAATTCTTCGTTTCCACCGCCTCGTATGATGCCCCCTACCGGCCCGTCATTCCGGACGGCATCAAGGTCGATTCCGCTAACAGAGTATACTTGGGGACCGCGGACGGCGTCCAAGGTGCGGAATAGCGTATACATGCCTTAAATATTACCCGAAGAGTGTCCGTATGTTCCAGAGTTGCGTCCGAATTTTCTGGGGAGCGTCCATTGGTTTTTAGAATTCGAACGTTCCTGAAGGAACGTCCGAATGGCTATCAACGTTTGAATGTGTTGAGGAGCGTTTCAAATGCTTTGGAAAATGCGTCCAAATGAAATCACCGCCATTCTACGTCTCGAACTCTGGCTCCCTGCCCTACGCTTTTGCCTCCCGAATCCTCTGAGGGGATTCTCAAAGGCACTGATTTTTTGCGACGCTGAAGCCATGTCACACGTTTCTGCGCCCCCTGATTGACACAGTATGGCTGAACTTCGGCGGCACGTTTGCTATGAGGTTCAAAGCTTCTGACCATATTGTCTCTAAGCACGCTTTGCAAAAACTGACGGCGCAAACGGGTGAATGTCCTCCTGTCCGCTGATAACCCAAGAACTCCGTTAGCTGTTCTGGACGGAATGCGCTCTTCGCGCCTCAAACTTCAAATGGTCGCTCGCCGCTCGTTCCTCGTATGTCGTAATACTTTCTTTGACTGGTTCCTCTTTGGGCGTGCAGTTTTCGACCGGGACGGGAGCCCCCTCGGCTTGATACGCTATCCGAACGTCGCCAACTTCGCTCTGGCGGGTCCGGCGCTCAACACACTCGTCCTCTTCAACGATACCAACATCGCGACCGTCCAATTGGCGAGCAGCGTCGTGTCCGCAGGGCAGCCGTACGCGAAGCGGGTTCTCAACATCAGGCCATAAGCGATCACATATGCGCCATAAGCGATGCGGAGGTGTGGCGTATGTAGTGTGTTGAAGTGTGGCATTGATTTGAAGCTGTAACATATGCAGAGGAGTTTGTTGCTTTTCAGTAGGAAGGAGTCCAGGGCATTGTAACTCCAGGCATGGGAAAAGTGTATTGTACAGTGCGGTGGGGATCAATCGGAATGTCTTTGAAGCCTGCCTTGAACCTCCAATATCCAAGAAACCAGTCAACTGCAAGATCTAGGGTGGTTAGCGACCGATTCAGAGGCCGGCAACATTCAGCTGGCAGGCGTAATGAATATCAAAACAAAATGTACAGTAAGTGAATGCACGTGGTACTACCAAGTTGAGTTCGTTCCGGGTTGTATAAACTTAGTAGCGCACACGAGACTGCGGACAACTGCGAATAGAACTGCCAGATTAGTGGATCTGTGCGCTCCGACTGGCAAGGCCCGTTGAGGTAGTCGTTCTTGATTGGATGTGCTAGAGCTAGAGCAGGAGATTTGCGTGCAAGTATTGGCAGCCCGCGGCCCGCGTATTTTGGAATTGGTCAGCAAGCGCGCTGACGAAAGACTCCCTGCTAACGGATTGACTAGATGCCTCCCACAGCTGTACGACCGACAATCGGCTCACAGCCTTAACTAGGGAGTTGTCAAATTGCTAGTACCTTCGTCTGCATGGGCGGCAGGGACCGAGCATCATTATGATCGGACTACAAACGAGAAGAACGGGATCCTTGGCTAGAGAAATGTGATTGCTATACTGCAAATTGAGTTGGCCGCGGTAAGTGTTGCGGAGTTGCACAGCATTATATGATGGTGCATACTACGCGTACTACATGTATATCGTCTGTCGATGTCGACCAGTCACCATCCATTCAACATGTCGAACAAGAAGTGTAAACACCCGGGCCGCCATATCCATGTATGTAGAACTGTGGGCAAAAGGTAGACGACGTAAGCACGCTACGTGGCCCGCCATGAGTGTCTACACAAAATAGTTGACGTGCACAAAGCATGCCAGCTGCACGTGTACGCGTGTTGAATGGACTACGTGATTATCGTGTTCAAGCTGCACGCGTCCTGATGAATGCGCTGTACATATTGCGTTGATTGCCGTTAACGTACGTACTGCAGCACGGTTCTCGTTACTATAAAGTCCCGTGATCATACCTGACAATTAGGCACAGTAAGCACGCAGCGACTCAATTCAAATGCACAAAGCTGGAGGCCGTATTCACCATTGCGCAGGTCCATATTAGTCCACGTTAAGATTGCAAGTCATTGAGCAGACCGGCTGCACGACGCCGGAGTTTTATTCGGAATAAACGGTAACCTGGTTGCAACGGCCAACCCTTATGTAATACGAACTACATCATTGTCACTTCAACAGAGTCTCAAGTCGGACTTGCGCACCCATCCTGGCCGCTGCTCTTGATTATGCATCTTCGATCATGGCCCAAAGAGCTGAAGCACAATGCACAAAAGAAAACGACGACTTTGTTTTCACATAGGTAAGGCGTACGTGAACAGATGCATCATATTACAAGTGCATAAGCTATCGCTTGGGCGATGAGTTCCCCCCGTGCCCCAACCGGCTGTTGACGCGCGAGTTGCTCGTGCGTGCCAAGCTGGCCGTCGGCCCCTTGCTCCGGCGCACCGGTATGTCGCTCGGGTTATAAAACGCCGACTGGAGGTTCTCTTCCAGCTCGCGCAGCTTCCCGGCGAGGTGCGCGTGCGTGACCGGGGGAACGGACGGGTCGTCGGGCGCGGCCGCGGCCGCGGCGTCGACCGTCAGCCGACGACCTGAAGGGTTGGCGCCAAGTTTTGGCCTTAATGTTTGCGAGCCCTTTTCGTCAAGTTGCGGAACGAGGCCACAAGTTTGTTGAGGGACGCGTAGCAGAGATAAATGACGTGCAGTTTTTGGTGGGCTTCTGACGGCCGCGAATCATTGCATCCGCGAATTTTGGCGGCCGTCTTTTTCAAGGAGGTTTTTCGCATCCAAATGAGCCTCTGATACATGTGGCAGTTGGAACAGGCCTGAGAGTACCGGATTGATGCACAATTTCTTCTTAGTAGCGTTGCGAAAAGCGTCAGCAACAATGGACTATTATGATTATACGATACTCGTACTTGCATCTCGATCAATGCATCCATCCCGAGGAATTTAGGCCCTAGTTCATCCCGAGGCACACATGGTCCGTTGGCATTCCTTGTTCTTGCTACACCTTTCCGAGCTGTTCTTCCCCCCTGACTATCTCAATCCGGTGACTGGATAACGGACAAGCATCTTGGTTGGTCGCCCGAGCGCGCAAGGCTCCACTCCCAATCGACACTCAGGAACTTAAGAGAATGAAATACGCTAAGAGTTCGGAACAGATCTCACAGCGGAACTGACAATCATAGTTACGGGAATCACGTACCTGCTTTCTTCGCAACACCGGCCTCCCTCGTTAGCCCCGGCCCCCACTGCTCCTTTCCGCGTAGCGATCTGGGCACGGTCAGGGGGTGCGCGCGCGCGTACGCGCTGCTGAAGCTGTCACGCGCGGCCGCCTCCTCAATCTGCTGCACGTTGGGCGTGTGGCCCTCCTCGAGAGCCGCCACTTGCTCCTGTAAGCGGGGTTTTAAGTTTTAATACTCTGGCTGGTATTCTGGCCAACGGGGGCGCGCGCGCGGCCGCCGTCTTCTAGTGCGACACCTCGTGTGGCCCTCCTTTAGCGCGGCTACTTGCGCCTGTAAGCGGGAGTTTGGGGGTTTTAAGAATGCATTTTGATACCCGGTCAGCGGGAAACATGTCGCTGACGAGCAGGCGGGCGAGGCCGCCGCCTTTTGAGTGCCACCCCTTGGGCGAATGTACCGAATCTCGAGCGCGGCAGCTTCCTTGGGTTAGGGGTTTAGGGTTTCCACTATTGGAAATCAGGCATGAAAGTTTCGGAACAAGGGTACGTCTCTGCTTCAGAGCTTTGCCAGGTCCACTATGATTCTGAACTATGTGCGCAGAAAGACATGCAGTTGAACGACAATCGCCCCAACGCACCTCGATAACGAACAGAGTGTCGGAGCGCTTGCGGCCTTCCTCCGGCTGCGCCGAAGCCGGCGCCGCGGCCGCCTTGCGCGATGGCGCGAGCCACGCGCGCAAGCACTTGTCCTGAGAAGCGGAAAGGTAGATGCCGCGCTCGTCGACGTGCGCGAGTGCGCGCACAACGTCCTTGCAACCTGCGCCCGCACAAAGAGGAAATAGGGGCTTTGAGGGAATTTTTCATATCAGCTTCACATGACTATTTGCATGCTGCCAATGACCTCAAGCCATTTGAGCTTTGAGGAACGAGACTCCACAAGCGTCTGAAACACGTCTTTTAAGAAGCTTCCGACATGATCCCCGGGGTGCTTTCCTTACAAGCCCTCATTTTCGGGAAATAAAAGCGACGAAGGACTCTTGATTTAAAAGTACAGGCTGTGAAGGACCTTTTTGCTCCTTGACAATCGCATTAGCAAGTTGCTGCCGACAGAAAGAAACAAAAAGGTTGCCCAAAATCAGAAAGAGGGGGGCGGGGGGGAACCAATGAATAAGGGGCACAGTAGAAGTTCATAGCTTCCCTTTGGCAGCTCTTCTCTTCAAAAGTTGGCAGCACCTTACAGTGTCAAAAGCAAGGGCAGATTCAGGAAGCCTTCAAGAAGCGGACAAGAAGGTGAAAGGGAGGTTTTCACCTTACTCAAGCAGGAGCAAATCTCCAATGAGCGTCAGACGGCTCACCCGTGTACGGCTTATGCACGTCATTGAGATCCATGTCGTAGCAGTTGATCGCCTTCCCAAACGTCGCCGCCAGAATGACGCCGGTGTGCTCGTCCACCAACATGGCTGTGATCGGCTCCCCTGAAATGCAACGATTTAGTGTCAGAATTCTTGCATGATGGGCCAGACTCTGGATCTAACACTGGAGCGGAATGTTAAAAGCGGAGTCTTGCAGCTGATGTAGCTCGTTACTGAGCCGTCAGCGTCCAGAAACCCGACGCGCTGGGATTCATTCGTAGGCTGTTCCGGCAAAAGCTTCAATTGTCAAAGAAAGCTTCCATCAAGGTACTCTAAGCGGAACCACGAAATAAATGTGCTTCGTTCGTTTCGACAGGCTTCGGACGGCGGCTTTCCGCCCTTCTGCCGTTTACGGCGGATCTAGAGGATTCTCTCCTCAAAGAGTCTGAATCTAAAGTCACTTGACCCTTCCGCGGGTTTCCCGTTTGTAAGAAAGTGTTTTTCAGTTCCAACACCAGATATTAACACTGTTTTGTTATGAACGGCCTTCTTCTCTCTGACTTCCATCATACATTTCTTGAAACTTACGGCCTTCTTCTCTCTGACTTCCATCATACATTTCTTGAAACTTGAAATTTCGGTGTGCTACAAAACGTGGCGCCCACAAAGCATCTCAAGGCGCTAAAGTTGAATGTACAGCCCGTCGATCTTCCTTTCTGCAGCTTTCCCCTCGCAATCCACACCGCCACTCGCTTGCCTTACCTTTATAGCCTCCGTCATTCTAGATCCACTCGCTTTATTTCCCCTGTAATGCTTCAACCGTATAAGATTCCCCTCACCGCTATCGCCAAACGAGAAACAGTAGGCAGACAACTCCGCACCTTTATAGCTCCTTGCCGAGCGGCACTTCCCGTCGTCCGGCAGCCACGTCCGGATCGTTCCGTCTTCCGACGCGGTTACCCACATCCCGCCCCGGAGCGACGTCCATCGTACGTGCGTGACGTCACCCGTGTGGCCCGAGATGACGCGCTTCAGCGCGCGCGTGACCGCGCACCAGATCTTAATCGCGCAGTCCGCGCCCGCGGTCGCGACCTCGTCGCGCTCCTCCGAGTAGGCCACGTCGCAGATCGTCCTGAAGGCGAGGGTTTGAGAGTTTCAGTTTTCAAGGATTAAGGGTTCAAGGGTTTGAAGTTTTCAGCCGCGGATCGCGCTTGGGCGTTTGGATCATCCGAATCCAACAGGAAAGCTTTGCAAAGGTCTAAAAGTACTCTGCTTTGGCCAACGAAGCAGGCTGAGTCCGAAAGTTGGATAAAATCCAGCAGGCCCTAGGCGGACTGGGTTTGATTGAAAATTGAAGTCATTTGGTCCCACCAAACGTATGATAGTCAACTCTGAAGTAGACTGTAACCAGCTTCGAGCTTTGACTGACCTGGAGTCCCCGGCCAATCAGGCGATGCAGACTCTCTAAGGATACATGTAGGCAGCTTGAAAGAGAAACAGGCCCAGGCTCCTATTTAAAAGCACTTGCTCGAACAAGAAGATCCAAAGCATTTTGGACTCCATACATGTAAAAAGATCCTGATGGCCTGACATATGAAAGGGACAGAAGTAGGAAAAATGGAATTGGTAGCATTGATACCAAAGATGATGACGTTTCGGCCCAGATGACTGTCGAAAAAAAGTCGGACTCACCCCTCATGCGCGTCCTCGACACACCCGATCTGCACCCTTTTGTGGATGTCCCAGAACCGGAGGGACCGATCGTGGCTGACGCTCGCTACGATCTGCAAAACAGAGCACTTTTAGATTGAGAAAGGAGCAGGCACCCAGACAGGAACGATATACTTCGTTTCAAATGCACCGTACAAAGGACAGAACGGCCGCTGACCACACCCGCTCAATGAAAGTTTGCTCCATGCTTTGCTGAAGATTCAAAGCAGAGAGGTGGGTTGAACAGCTCTGTTCTTCTCACAGCAGCATAGACAAGGACTTCGACTGTCGCAACCCACAAAGTTGCCGCGCTCTGCGATCTCCGAGGCGTCGTGTCGGATTGGAAGCCCCTTAGAAGTCCCAACACCACTGATTATGTGATAAACGGCAAGCTTGGCAGATTATCTGGGACACTCTCCGCCCGCGCGCGCGCGCCATACCTTGTCCCTGCAGCACGCGAGCGCCACCACTCGGTCCGTGTGCCCGGTCAATGGCTCGCTCAGATCGGCCCCCGATCGAAGGGACCGCCTCGGGGCCGCGCTCGCGGCCGCGGATGCGGCCGCGGTCGCCGGCGCCTCCGACTGGCGCCTCTCCTGATCGGCCTGCTGCAAATCCTCGGCGCATACGGAGCTGTCAAGCTGCCATAAGCGGATGGTCTTATCCTCCGACCCGGTGATCAAAAGGTCCGCGTCGCTGTCATACGCTATGCACAGGATGGGCCCCTCGTGGCCCCGCAGGTCGTCGTTGTCGATAGCGTATACGTCGGTGGTGAGTTCGTTTCCGGGGGTCCATTTGAAAATGCGCCCCTCTGTTCCCGCCGTGTAGATCTGCTCAAAAATGGTTTGTAGATAATCAACCTCAATGAATTGTTATGCGAAATGATTAGAAGTTTTATAGAAGTTGGATTCTGTCAAAACAGGTTGTCTCGCTCCCGTAAGCAGGTGCGAAAAGGGGGAAACGTGTGCACCGCTTCAGGGTCATGGAAAGTTTTTCTTGCTGTCACTGGAAAATCATATACAAAGCAGCGATCTTTGCAATGGCTAAGTTGTCTCACCCTCTTGAAGAATGCGCCGGTCGTTCTGGACGAGATGAAAACTTAAAACTCCGAAAGAATGATTGTGAGCGTTCAAACCAGGATTTGTATCGAAGTAACAAGTTCAATCGGTCCCTAAGTCACTTTTCCAGCCACTTTCGATATTGCAAATGTACTAAAAAGCGCAGTCCCTAGAGACCATCGGAGTAGACGCACCTGTATGCTGTGCGCCTCTTTCCCCTGAGGCGCACTCCTTGTAAACGAGCCTTGCGTAGAAACGGTCCCCCGGTACCCCACCGAACCGGACGTCGAAGCCTGCCCGCCGCTACTAGTTCTCCGCCCAAAGTCCGTCCCGAAAGAACCCCTGGCAGCTTCACCGCTAATCCCGTCGCTAACCCGCTCACCAAACCAAACAACCGGCTCGTTTTTGGACTGCGTCCCGTTTGCCTCCGTAGGTAACGACGTGCTAACCAGACCCTGGTTTCGCGAACCCTCTAGGCTTCGCCCGATGTTTCGTTTGACTGCTACCATACATTCGATGCTGTCGAAACCGCCCTTCATAACCCGGTGGGCTCCAAACGGGTTATACCGCCAAACCACTAACTGCTTTTGGAAACCCACCCCGAGAACTAGATCGGTGCCCGGGGGATGGCAGACTTTTTGGACCGGGTAGTCCAGGAAACGGCTGGTGCTCTCCACGTATGGGGTCATATCCAGCGGGATGCGGGGGTCGTATACCATCATTCGTTGGGATTTCCCTGCAACGATGTCATCAGATAAGGTTCAGGTTGAAAAAAGTGGAAACTTTCGAGCGAGATGGACTGTACACCAGATTCGCTCAAGCCTAAGTCTGTGTCTTTTTCTCCATCCTCATATGGACCAAAGATGGGGCACTGAGTAGATTCCTTGTGCATGAGCATATCGGGAGACGGACTCATAAGTAAGTGAGCTCTTATGAGACATGTGCAGCAGTTTGGGTGAGCTTCCTTGGTATGTCGACGGCAGCATGTAAGTTCCCTTGTCTGGCTTGTCAGGGCAAATCCCAGATTCAATGCTTGGAGACATTGTCAGTTGTAAGGATGCTTCAAGATGTGAGCAACTAGGGCAAGCATATCATTTTTCCTGCCAGGCCAGAAGTATCAGAGACGTGAAGCAACTGAAGCCGCCGCACAATCTTCTCACCCGTGATCCAATAAGACTTCGTGTGCGGCACGTACGCTATCCCTGTAACGGCCTCCAAGCTGACGTCAAGAACGTCGACGCTGTGGCCCTCGGAGCTCCAAAGCTTGACCTTCCCGTCGAAGCTGCAAAATCAGGCGTCAGAAAAGTTCCGGCATGTTAGAGAAAATGGACAAGCATGAGGGAAAGATCGTTCGACGAGATGACCATGAAAGAGGTTATTCTGACTTGGAGAACTCGGCGACTTTAGCCGTAGGTTGCTGGCTGAGCACCCATGTGCGTCAAAGACATCAAAATTCCTCTCAAAAATCTCCTCCAATTACCACTGTCCGATGAGCCGCCGCGCATGTCAATAACGGTCTCTCGACACGGTTTCGACGCAGTCCTGGCAACTTCCTAGCACTCCCTGCCTGAAGGAACGTTGTCAGAGTTGCTAAAGTCTGCCTCACCCGCCCGTGAGAAGCCAGCCATTGTTGGTGTCCAGACACGCGGTGCAGATCGCGCCGGCATGTGCGTTCTTGATGGGCTGACACGTCTCCTTCACGCGCTCGCTGTCCGAGATGCAGACCGTACGGTCGAACCTGCCCGAAGACCAGAGAATGCTTCGTCAGCGAGATCTCGGAGTAAGAGGAAAACTTAAGTGGAGGCCCTGAAACGCAGTTAGATTTCTCGTCTTCTGTAGCAGTAGATTCCACAAGGGGGGGGGGTCGCCGCTTCAGAGAGGAGCTCCGTTGCTCCGAAAAGAAACAGGAAAATGCGGGTGATACGTAGCGCAGTGACTGAGTCCCCACGAGGAGCTTGATTCAGCGCATCAGTTCTGAGCTTTGAAGAAGCTATCCATGTTTCTGCGACGGTACCTTCTGAACGCACTCCTTTCGATTCTGTCTGCTCTGACCCGTGCCCTCGACGAAAATGAAAGCGGGCGGTAACAGCACCATCTCTACACAAGTCAATTCCGAGTTTCGCTAATCAAGGTCCTCGTACCCGATTCCTGAGTGAATCCTATCTCAGACCGTAGTGTCAACCGTAAGAAGTTTCAATGGCTGAAAGCGGGTAATCTCTTCACAAGCGGCACGTTTCAACATCTAAATCTTTCCCAACAAGAGTCCCATGAAATGCTTTTGGCAAGCAGCAAAGAGGGCACGATTACCCTGCCGTGAAGACTTTGCCGTTCTCCGCGCAGCAAACGGCGCGGACGAGGTCGGTGTGGCTCCGATGGGAGTTGACCGGCTTCAGTATCTTCACCTGCATAAGGCAAGAAAGCGTCGGGGATCAGCAACCGATCGGTCGAGCTGCGTAAGCACACCGGTCGGGAGTAGTTAACAGGCTGCTTTGGAACGGGTTTCAGAAGGCAAAGGGAGGTCCGGTGTCTATGATCGAATATACCATTCAAAATTGCAAGATGCGACGAGTAGACCCGGCCACAGGTTGGTTGCTGGGGTCCCTTAGAAAGCTTGCCGCGGCCAAATTTACTTAAGCCCCATTTCCCAAACGGCTTCTGACTTGTCAGGAACATTTTCTTGCGAAGTTCGGTAGAACCCTCGCCGCAGGAGCGGGCGTTCGAGGCAATTCAACCTCAACGAACAGAGTCCTAACAAGGAGGTGTCGACGAACCAACTGGCGTCGAAGTCGAAGCGGCTAGCGATTCGTTGGTTGCTCTGAAAGGTTACGGACATAGTTCGTATCCTGATGCGGAAATGTCTCTCATTGCTCCTGGGATGCTATCAGTGGTGCAACGAATTCACATGCCCAACCGCTGATTATTGGCGGCGCCTATTTCGCATAGATGAGTGACCGACAACCCTGCATCATCGGAAAGCCTCTGTAAAACTGTGCTTACTTTCTGCGAAGACACGAGAGAAGCCTGCTCTATCCAAGGGCGTTTAGGAGACTTTTTCTCCGTCATTTGGACCTCAGGAAATCAGAGCAAATGGAGCGTTCCCGCCCAACGACTCACCTCACCCTTCCCTTCCTGAGCTTTCTTCATGCCTTCTGCGTCAGGCCGAATTGCGCGGTAGACTTGTACAAGGCCGTTGCCTCCCGCAATCAGATGCCGTCGCTTGCTGTTCCAAGCGAGGGCAAAGACTGGCCCAGAAAACTCGACTACCTGCAAGAAAAAGCGGGGACGCTGAATGTTCCACAGGTGCTCTTTGGTACGTCCATCTGTAACTTCGGATGGAAGAGTATGTGCACGACGAAACGAAGATGTAGTTACCTAAGAAATGTCTTTCCGTCACTGAAGGTTGGAGAACAGTATCGTAAGCACTTGGCTTGACGAATTGCAAACGACACGAATCAAGTTGGAGAGAAAAGGTCCATTAGCGTGCTCTCGCCATTTACCAAGCCGTCCTTTGATTGAATCAAACCCTCTTTTGACAGACAGCTTAACACTTTGACCAACGACCTACGTCACTGCTGGACGTGACGAAAGATTACAGCGCTGCAATTTTACGAACGCCAGAAGTTGAAGCTTATTAACACTCTCTCGTTATATAAATGTCGTCATGATTGCGAACCTTCCTGCACAATCCGTGGACCTTGGGGCTACACTTCGCAGACTGACTTAAAAGGCCCGTTCACTGAGAATGGCCCGGATGGGCTTGTTTTGGAGAAATTAAAGCCCGACAATCCAGTAGCCAAGGTGCTTACGAAGCCAGAAATAGCTAACAGCCGATGGTTTGTAGTTACTTGCTGAGTAAAGGCTTCTTTTCACCTGCAGCTGCCTCCCCCTCTCGCTCCATACTCGGATTGTTCCATCCAGGGATGCTGAGAACAGCAGCCGAGTGGCGCTTGAAAAGTTGAGGTCGTTGATCCAGCCGGTGTGGCCATCTTGAGTGCGGACCGCCTTGCCCGAATCGATGTCCCAAACCTGATGAGAACTGACTGCTTCAATCGTCTTTCCCTCCTGACTCTGATTCAGAAGATGCTTCCCACCCTGTCTTCGAGGAGCACTGTTCTGCATGATAGTAAACCTACCAACATGGATTGCAGACTATGTGTTTGGTTACTCTGAATTTTAAGGGAGAGCTAAACCTCACTGTGCTTCTCTACAAAAACTCTGGTATATCTTCCCGCACTCAGAAAATGCAGCTGCAGCGCAACCCCTCGACCACCAGATTCGGAGCATCAAGTTACCACCACATTGTGCCTGAAGCTCTGCAACTGAACCTTTTACACACATTGATATATGTTTGATTGCTCTTAACAAAAATGTGCCCCTCAGCCCCTCTTTGAAAGCATCTCGAAATAGATTGAATTTGGTCGAAGACGCTTATCCGGATTGTCAGCAAGCTGCCTGAGGAACGTCGTGCAAAGCCCCAGCCAGCATTGTTTGCCCAACTCCTCTACCTATAATGGCTATCTTATGCATTCCGGGTCTCACCTTGATCAGTCCGTCCTGCGCCCCACTATAGAGCTCCTTCTTATTCAGATTGTATGCCACACACAGAATCTGCTCTTCGTGCGCACAGGTAATCACACGGCGGACCTCAAAGGCCATCCTTGGCAACTAGCTCCTGCTTGCTATGTTAGCATTATTGGCGCCAGCTGCAAAGTTAGCGGTACGTCAGCACCTTGGCCAAGCTTGAGCTTCCATGCCTCTAGCCAGACTTACATCAGTCTGTGGTCTTCGTACGCCAATTGCAGAACAGAGTCAGGTTCTATGAAAGCACCAGCTGAACTTGAAAGCTTCGATCCTCCAGCTTCATAAGCTCATCACATGTAGAAATTCTTCGCAGCTCTTACATACTGTAACAGAGCGGGCAAAGCTGTAGCTGCATGAACCAAGCCTGAATGTTCAAACAAGAAGTTTGGCGGGAGTTTGGCGGGCAACGAGTCACTGCAAGCTGCATGCACTGCAGCTAGCGCGCTCGTAGCCAATGCGTCATTATGAGTTGATCTGTTGAACCAATGCACCTCATGGCATCTCAAAATACTCTACTGAGTGGGGGGCCCTTCTAGAGAAGCAGAGCGATCATCTTCTCGAACTGGGTTCATGGGTCTGGGACCAACGGGGGACCAACTGCCTTCTGCTTCCTCTGAAGCACCATGATCGGATTTGGCACGCATATCGGACGGTCCGCAGCGGCGGTAACGTAGCCGGTCGCGGACGCCCGAAGAAACGATGCAATGAAACCCTAAACTTTTCTCAGGCAACCTCAGGCTCAAGCTCAAGGTTCTTGGACAAGCTCTTTGTGCAAGTCGTGCAAAGGCGGCGCCATTGTGATGGACATGGTGGTGCAGTTGGAGCCGAGGAACCCCATCGGCTGAGAAGCTGAGACAGAAGCACTGAGAACATTCTTGTAGTGACGGCGGCTTGGTGGAATATGGTCATCTCTTTATCAAGGCTGTGAAGCTAAGGGGGCCAGGCAGAGTGTTCTCCTCTCTGGGGGCCTCACGATGGCAGACATCTGCTCATTGCCTTCTCATAAACAGTGTTTGGCGTTTTCTCCTTATCCTCCTGGTGCCTTGCACTTGGCAGATGGATCGGCTGCTCTCCATGGTAACGGTTGTTCCTCAACGGTAAGGGCTGCTTCTCTGCCAGGCTGCAAAGCCATCACATTCTACAGCTCGCATCATGTTGCGAGGGTGTCATCCGAACCTGGTCTAGAAACCGCCAGGTCGCGCATCAGGCAACGTGCCTGGCAGCATGAGAAGGATTTTAGGGTTTCAGCCCTGGCGGCCCGTTCACACTCTCCTACCCTTTGCCGCCCTCGACACGATGAAAAGGACTACATCGTCTGGGATGCTCCAAGGGAGGCTGGGCGTGCTTTCACACTGGATAATGAGGATGAGGCCTCTACCTCTGGGGAGGGCCTCTGGGGTAAAACGGAGAGGGCTGCGAAGGCCAGAGGGACTAGACACTGGCTGGTAGAGGAAAGGGGTCGGGAGGGAAGCGACAGTAAAGGGTTCTGGACGACAGAAGGCGAGGAGGAAGGGCCGCTTCCATGGTACTCGCAGGAGCGAGTCTTTGACGAGCTGTTTGGGCGGGAAACTTTTAATGCAGGTGAATTGTTCAGGGTCAAGCGCTTTGTTTGATTTGTTCCGTCGCCATTTTGAGTATGGATCATCACAGTTCAGCAATGCCTTTTTGTAAGCTGCTATTGTTGTAGGTAGGCATTGGCGCAGCTTTTTGGGGACCTGAAGGACGAACTTTGTCTAAGGCTTCTATATATTACCACCACCCTTCCTTGATGTTTGCGATCCCTGGGGCGATTCTTGTTGCATCTCTGGTTTCCTTCAGGATCTGTAGGAAGAAGTACAGTCGGTTAGAAGCCCGTCAGCACCAACTCTCCATCAGAGGCCAGCCAGGTCCTTGTCGTTCTTGTCGTGTTTACAGGTGAAGGCAAATAAAGGCATCACTTCCTCTTCATAGAGACCAGGTCGTCTAGATTTTGGGAGTCTAGTTTGACAAAGGTCCTTGTCTTGCTGCAAGGAACAGATCAGAGCAATGCACATCTGGATTACATTCAACAAACTTGCACGTTCGTCGCTCTTATTTGCAATTCTACACCTTCATCTGCCTATCCTGATCTGATCAGCAACTTGGGGCCTTCTCTAAACGCAGGCGAAGAGCTTGACTTGATTACATTACAACTTCAGATTCAAGTAGAGTTTGGTTTGTGTATATTCACTTCAGTTCACATGCTAAACCTCTTCTCTAACGGCGGCCGCTGACCCTTGTTGTATTCTCGTCACAGCTGGCGGCGTGGCCACCTCACACCGCTCCCCCAGGAAAGATGCCGATGGCTGGGAGGAGCTCCACACTGTCCCAGACTCTCTGCCTGGGCCAAAGCCACATCCTTCACCCTGGCAAGATTCAGACGGAAGTTTCGACCTCGACGAAGCCCGCGCCGATTTCCAAGTCCTACGGGGGATGCTGCAAGACCTGCGGAAGGGGGGACGTAGAAAAGTGCAGTCTCAGAGATGGGAGGGTTTGCCTCTGCCGGCAGCAAGGTTGGTCCAGGGGGGGCTGGAAAAGCGTTCGGGGGTGCGGGCGAAAAGTGCGGGTTTGTTACGTGGAGTGACGGCCTCAGAGAGCGTGGGTCGGCCAGACAGAAGGCCGGGAGTTGTGGTTGATGTCAGCGAGTCTCTTGGCCCCCTGGAGGCATTTCTCGACGCCTCGGCGCAGTTTGGAAGTGCCGAGGATTTGGTGGCCGCAGCAGAGCAGCCAGAGTCCGAGAGGGGGTTTTCGCACTTGCCTAAGGCGAAAACGGCCGCACCTGCTATTCCTCTGCTGGGGGTCGAGGAAAGGGCAGTCCAAAACGGGGTGAACTTTCCGGCGGAGAGTGTGAATGCACCCTGGGAAGGTGTGAACACTTTGAGGAAGAGGGAAGTTGTCAGTCCGAACGGCACTGCTGCCCTAACGGAGGGGACAGGCTGTTCTCTCAGGGGAGCGAACGGGGCAGAAAGACCGGTCATCGGGCTGAACTCCTCTAGGGGAGGAGCGCAGCCTTCGACGACTGGTCGGAAAGCTTCCGGTAGAAAGCCCCAAGCAGGGGAAGCCGCGTTGCAGCGGGTGGTGCGGCGGTTGCTGGAAGATGATGTGTTGGGTGGGGCAGAAATGCCAGAGGGGCAGAGGAGGGAGCGCTTGGAAGAGCCGTTGCAAACGTCCAGGGGCGGCATGGCTGAAGCAATGGGGCGGGAAGTTGGCAAAGAGCGGAGAAGAGCCCAGGCAAGAGCTGAAGGGAAACTTGAGGGAAGAAAGGAGACGCAAGGGGGGCCGGAGCTTGTGAGTCGAATATCGGTAAACGGGACTGCGCGGCCTGCGATCGGCGATTCAGAGGACACGAGAAGAGAGTCGGCCGGGAGGGCCCCGTCAGGGGTCGCGCCACAACTTGAGGAGCCCACCTCTAGTTCGTCAGGGGGAAGTGCCCCCAGCAACGGCGCCTGGAAGGGAAAGTCGGTGTGGCGGCGGGATGCTCCTGAGGCCCCGTCAGAGACCAGGCAGGAGATGGGAAGCCCCGCCTCTAGTTCTTCCCAGAACGTGGTCGCTAGCAATGGGGCCTGGAAAGGCCGGTCGGTGTGGCGGAGAGACGTTGGCGCTGCCAGCGCTGAGGCCCTGTCAGAGCCGAAGGCTGCGCGTTCTTCTAGTTACAGCCCGCCCGAGACGCCAAGAACAGGGCCTTCTGAGGTTGAGCCGGTGGACGAGTCCCTGGTTTCGGCTGTCGTGTCCGCCGTGACTTCGCTTCTCGATGCGGAAGAGGGCGTCTCTTATCAGAAACTAGAAAGGGTTTTGGAGCCTTGGGCGGGGCAGGTTTCGCAGCCGGGTTGGGAGCGGGTTATGGAAGAACTGGAAGGCGAGGGGGACTGGGGGGCTGTGCTGGCGGTTTTGGCATGGATGGTCGGGCGGCATGCGGGGACCGAGCCTGAGATCGAGAGAGCGTTCTCGAACTCATATCCGGGGTCGGAGGGCGCTCTCACCGGGGCTTTCCTTTGGGCAGACCTGGAGGGCGCTTCAGAATCGGTCTCTGACAGGGGGTGTGGAAATGGGCAAGAGGGGCTCGTTTCTGGATCGGGGGCCAGAGCCGGGCTGGGCAAAATGGCAGGTGGAGAGCCGGTCCGGGCTTTGCTAGAGCGTGAGTACGGGGACTCGTCGATACTGGGGGGTGGCGTAAGCGTGCGGCCGGAAGAGCGGATCAGGATCGATGCAGACGTCTTAGAACGGGCGGTAGGCGACCAGGCGTGCTCTTGTCGGATCTGCGCTTCGTCTCGGGGGGGCGGAGCGCTGTTTCACGAAGACGAAGACGACCCGCTTGTTAGCTCTGGTCCTGGCTCGGGGGACGAAAACGGTTTGCGTTTAGAGTCCGCTTTGCCCGGGGGTTTGGGTGCCGCGCAGGCGTCCTTTGCGAACCGGGGGGTCTTGGAAGGGCGGCCTGCCGCCCCCCCGAAACGGAGGAAGCGGCGGAGGGCGTCGCTGCTCTCACGCAACGTGTGCGCGACAGCTGTCCGGGCGCTCGGCGCAGCGGGGCGGGTACCCGAGCTTCTCGCCTTGCTACCGCATCTAGGGGGATCCCTCGCGGGGCAGAATCTGAGCAAGGCGCTGGTGATGCACCTCGCGAGGGACGGGAAAGTGGAGGAGGCCCTGTCGGTGCTCCTGTCGTCGCCGCACCGCACCGTCCCGCTGTACAACGTGGTCATGGATGCGGCCAGCAAGGCCTGGCTGGGCCACGAGCGCGTGGTCGCCATTTTCGATCTCATTCTTTCGGACGGTTTGGACCCGACCGTCTGGAGCTACAACACCGTGCTGTCCGCGCTCGTCCGCGAAAACATGCTGCCCGAGGCGTTCTACTGGCTGGACGAGATGCGGGTTCGGGGCTGCAAACCCGACGCGGTTAGCTATAACACGCTGATGGGCGCGCGAGTGCAGTTCAAGGTCGCGCGGGGGATCTTCGAGCAGATGCTGAGGGAGGGGGTTACGCCTAACCTGAGGACGTTCAACGTGCTCATTGCGGCGGTTGCGGCGATCGGGGACTACGAGGAGGCCAAGACGTGGGTCGTCCGGATGAAGGGGATGGGCATCGAGCCGTCGCAGGTACGTAGCTTTGATTGCTTCGTTTCTCTCATCAGACCCTGCTGGTTTCGTTCTCCCCTGCTTTACAAAGTGAGATTCTGCTGAGGATCGAGACGAGTGGGTCCCTTTCTTGCATGTTGTGCGGGCTTAGTTCGTCAGCAAAGTGGAATACCAAACCCGTCGAAGACGGGAATGACGCGCTTTTGGACAGGTTCAACAGCCTGCTGATTGGAACGAAAGTGACATAGGAACAAAGATCTTGGTCTGCTCCCTCATGCATATTGCAATGCCTGATAAAGCACCTGTCGGCGCACGGCCGGTTAACTGCCTCTTCCGCTAGCTTTTGTCTTCAGGGTGGGGCCGCTTTCTCGCTGCTGCGAGCACTCTGATCCCTGACTTGAACACGTGCTTTCCATCAAAAAACAGATTGAAGGCTGACGAACAAGTGAGAAATGCTCGTGTTTTCCTTCCCCCAAGTCTCTGAAGCCATGCGATCCGGGTTGTTCTGGAATGACGTTCTTCTCTGTGCACAAGTTACCTGCGCAAGCTCCGGTCACAGAATTGTTACTTCTTGGCATAAACTGTTCCTGACTTGTCAAGCTCGGGCAGGTTTCGGTCTGCAGAACGTTCGCAGCTAAGATCATCTGGGCAGTCACTTATCTGACCACCGTTCCGCTTAGACCCGCTATCCTTATTTACACTCTCATTTGTCGTCGCCTGGTTAGTTAGTCCTTACTGTGCATTTAGTGCTTATTCACACTTTCCGCTTCTGCAGGTGACGTACAACTCCCTCATCACGGCGTGTCTGAACGGCGGCTCGGGGCTCGACGAGGCCCTGTCCGTCGTCGAGCAGATGGAGGATGCGGGCTTCTTTCCCGACGTTGTCACCTACAACATCCTCATCGGGGCCTGCAGCCGATTTGGATGGCTTGAGGAGCGGAATGACCTGCTGGCGGAAATGAACTCGACCGGAATCAAGGCCAACGACATCACGCGGAAGATGATAGCGCTCCATAGGCCGGACGATTTAGAGAGGGGGTTTAGGAAACGGTTCGAGGTATGTTCTGTACGCGAACAGAATGTGAAGGTTGTAGTCGAAAAGAAGGGGCGACGGCAGCGGAAGGTTAGCTAAGCTAGCACTGTACAGAAGTTCGTAGGTATGCATTAGTTCGTGATAGTTCTGCCGACAGCGGCAACAATCTGGTAGTCAAAGGTGACAAATGATCCGACAAAGCCTTGAGCTAGGGGTTCAGGTCGTCCGGTGGGGATCAAATTCCGGACCCTCTTTAAAACACTCAAATCCGGAAAGCCTTTCTTTTCACCCGATGGTTTTATTCCTCAGTCGCGACCGTTTTACCAATTTGGCATGTGGTTGCCTATCGTGCGATCACTTGAATCGAGCTAGCTGATCAGAGACCAACGCGATGCGGTCATGCTGCAATCATGCAAATCGGCAAGCTTCGGGTCCGACAGAGTCGATATCAATAGGTGCTTCACCAAGTCTCAATTGCTGTAAGTATTCTTTTGCAAACCGATCATGCAAGAGCGAGATGCAGTCGACTTCTGCGCATGCCCGGCCTACTACACATCGATCATGCACTCTACAGCAGTGAGAGAAGCGCGACTGAACTTTCCTTCGTACGCATTCGCATTGGTCAGATCAGCGGATTTGGAGGTCACGTGGTCAAGTTCTGTCTAGCTGGACTCAGCCTTTAATTGACCATCATGTGCATTAAATTCGATTGAGGACACGTATTCATGTGAAGCGAATGTGCGATAGTCGCATCGCCTAGTCACTGAACAATCAAGTCGTTATGCAAGAGACATGTCGGAAATACTGTCAGCACACATAAACGTTGTATAAGCTGCATGCAGCCCACTCCTCATTAAGGACCATGTCATCGTGAAGGCATCCATGCCCTATCAAAGACTGAACCGACTAACCCAGATCCTTTTTTGATCTACTTCGCAACTCTCAACAGCTTTTAGACATCGTGACAAAGATCTTAATTAAGAGAGTTAACGATCGAGTCGGCTCAGAAGCCCACGTCCCCTTGCTCCGCCATCGCTTGGAAAAATGCGGCCGCCGTTGCGGCATCAGCTGATCAAATTCACGTCTCTTCAGGCAGCTCAATCTGCGCGCGCACACACCCCAGCTCGGCTCCCCCCGCCAGCTTAAATCACCCCAGTCCTGCGCTCTCGTTCTCAGTACCCCCCTTGCCAAGATAGTGGGCCTCCCAAAGATCGTATTGTGCGCCCGCGTGCCCCTGATCCGCCGCTTTTCAAAGCCACGTGGCCGCCTCCGCATCATCTCGGGCGACGCCCTTTCGCTCGCCGTATAGGCACCCCAGCTTATAATATGCATCTGGGTAGCCTGCGTCACCCGCCCTCTTGAGCCACATTACGGCGTCCGCCAGATCCTGTTCCGTACCGGTTCCGTCCCGATACCTCGGCAGCAAGTCGTGCTGTGCGAGCTGAATAGCGGAATGCGCCGCTCTGTTCTCCCACGCGGCCGCCTCTTCGTAGTTCCTCGCGACGCCCTTTCTGTGCTCGTAGCATTCCGCCAGGCAGAATGCTGCCGGAATCTGTTCCCTTTCCGCAGCTTTTTCGTACCACTTGAACGCCTCCTCAAAGCTCTGCTCGACGCCCCGGCCTAGCTCGTAGCACACCCCGAGCTCGTAACACGCGTCCTTGTCTGCGTGCGCCACGTGGCGCACGTGTTCAGCCGCCTCCCTGAACAAACGCACAGCTCCTTTCGGATCCGTTTCCAGGACACCCTTGCCGATCTTATATAGCATATGAGAAATTCCGCTTCCGGCATAATGGAGCTCTTGGCTTTTCAGAGCTTGTTCCGCCCAAGAAACCGCCGCGGCGCCGTCTCTCTCGCACCCCGTTCCGTTTGCAAGGCACACTGCTAGCTCGATCATGCAATCCCCGCTCCCTAGTTCTGCTCCCACTTTGAAGAACTCCACGGCCTCCTCGTGGCGCTCGTCTTCGGACGCATCCACGCCCTTGTCTAGCATGGCGCCGAAGAGCGCGCTCTGCGTGCGCGCGTTCCCGTGCGCGGCCAGCTCCTTGAACAAAGCGAGCGCTTTGGATCGCTCCACGTTTCCGAACCTTACGTACATTGCCGTCCTAAGAAGGGTTCGCATCTCCTGAGAAACGTCCCCAGGGGAACCGACGACTTGCGCGTGCTCGAACAAGACCAATGCCGCCGTGCAGTCTTTGTCGCACCCTTGCCCTAACAAGAATTGACGCGACAGCGCAGCCATACATTTGGCACACCCCGAGGCAGCCCCAGATCTGAAAAGCTCCAAGGACTCTACGTAGCGTTTCTGCAAATGCGCGGTTTTCCTTTCTGTGGAAGATCCTTTCCAGCGCGCTTGCGCGCGCGCTTTCCAAACCAGAGACCGCTTCCTCATAATCTCGATTGCCATGGAACCCCATCATGCGCAGGCTCTCTGCCTGTCCCCTGTCCATATCGCAGGCTGGCGCCGTTGGCAACGCTTCGACACTTATCTGAGGCTGCTTCACTCACCTTCTAATTTACCTTCAATGCAGCCCATGCCAGAGCGCGTCTAGAAGCAAACATATCAAAGGCCTGGCCCAAACCATTGCGGGAGACTTTGCGGGTGGTAATATTGCGTTGATCCGAGGGGTGAGAGAGGACTGAATGAGCGCCTTTTCGCATCTTGTGAAAGTTTTTTCAGCTCGGGGGACGGTGATTCGCGCGGTCGCTATTCGCCAAACCCCAAACCCGGAGCTTAGTTGCGCGCGCCGTGCCCTTGACGTCCGATCGACGCGCTTTGCGGGCGCGCCACACGTGGCAGCCGAAGTCGATTGTCGCGGCCGGCCTGATGCAAGTTGCACGGTAAACCCTGCCTGGTTGCATCACAGCCGTCCACAGTCCACAATTGTGTCAATTGACCGTTAAATGGATTCGATATTTCTCATCTAAAACTTGAGCATCCTGTTCGTTGGGGTGATGATTGCGGCCACTACTCTTGTCTGATGCGTGCTGCACATCAATTAAACGGCAGAACTTTACAGAGCAATAGTCTGGCTTTGAAGTTGCGGCGCTGCGCAAGTGATGCGCTTTCAGCTTGCTGAAGATGACGTATTCTGCAGCTTTATGTGAGCAGGGCGGGCAGCGTGAAACGTATGCATTCTAAGATCGCAAGTCACGAGAACACATCGGGTTGGTTGTCACTCTTGTATTAGTAGGCGTGTAGTCAGACCAGGACCTGAGGATCGAATGAGGATTGAACAGACCTTTGAAATTCAGTGGGAAGAAAGAGTTTTAGTGACTTAGACAAGAAGACTTTGTAAGTTGCGGCCTGACTGCTCAGCCTCCAGGTGGTGCATATGCACCTTACGTATGAGCAACATTTCAGACAATGGAAGAAGACCTAGACAAGGTCGTGGAGGAGTATGCAGCCATGATCAACTCATCTCATCACGAGAGGATTCTGGAAATGTATCAAGCGCTGGAGGAATTGTTTCTCTCAGGGGAAAAGGGAAGTGAGACGACGTTTGCTAGGATTGCTCAAGAACTTGCCACGTATCAAAATGATGCTCTTTTGAAGCCCCTTTTGCTCGGCATTTTGGAGATATTAGACCGTGAGGATCTGCATGCGAGGACCTCTCACTTCAGGGCTTGCTGCTTGGCAATCAACACATTGACATCAAGCGCAATTGTGGTCAAAAAATGTCTGATGGGAACAGGCCGGACGGAAAAGACGCGCCCTGCTCGGATCCTTTACGAAGATTTAAGTGCCACCGCATTACGCAGGTCACACGCTCTAGAAAAAGGAAACGCTAGTGCTGCAAGCCTTTGCATTATTAGACCTCCGGAAATCTTGGCCAAGTTTACGAGAGCTTCCAGAGTTTTCCGGAAAGCCATGAAGAACATCTCAGAAGATCGGAACATGTATGAGACGTTTGGAGACTTTTTGTCCGCACAGTTCCTCTCCAAGCTGTTTCAGACAGCTTGGAGAGATCAGAAAGACGCCGCTGCGATCAGAATGTGGCTGTCGGAAATGGCGGTCTCGCTTGCTTTCTCAGAGGACAGTCAGCCATGGGTTCTAGACATGTGGCTTCTTAAGTTGATGGCAGCCATCTACGAAACTACAAAGATGCAAAACCTCTCAGACGATGTGAAGCAGACCGACTCTCCTGTGGCTCGTTGCGCAATCCTTCTCTGCTTGCTGAACAAACAGGGCACGATAGAAAAGCTGCGAGCTCACAATGCACTCTCAGGTTTCAGCCCCCACAAACGGAAGATAAACAGTGCTGATCCGCGGTACAAGCCTTGGAGCTACATCGAAGCAAGACTGCAAGGACGGCCTATGCGAGCACAGGATCTAGACCCACGCTTGATAGAGATCTTGCCGGAGATTATGCAGCATCCGAGTCCTTGGAACTGGACTCCCATCGTCTGCTCGTGGAAGCTGTGCACGGCAGGCCCCCAACCGGAAGGTGATGGGAAGAAGTATGGAAAGTGCGCTGACTGTCAAGTTGCTCGCTACTGCAGGTTAGTTCCGAGTATCCTCAGACTATCTCCAATTCCGAAGCACTGCATGGCCGTCATTCTGGTCGTCACTCTCGCACCCCGTTCCTTTCATCATCTTGGCATCCCCAGGTCGTTTGCGGGTGGAGATCCTGAGCAAGCGCTCTTTTTTAAAGACCACTCTTCACCTTAACGTAGAGGGTTAACCTTCTCCTAGCCCCTTCGCTTAGGATCTTCCGCAACGTCCTCTGTGCCGGTACAAAATATTTCGATCACAGTTGTGCATAGGGATCAAAATCGGGCAGGCACTACGGTTGGGAGTTGCTCAGCAGACAGTGTACCGGCCACAGCTTGCTCGAGATCGCGCTTCGGTACTGCTCCTGCTTTTCTTCACTTGCTATGATAATTGTATTACGTTTCGCTTTTAGTCAATCACAAGATTCTTGACTGCCACGGACAGCTCTGTCCAAATTTACGGCTATACTGGCTCCTGCTCAATCTCGGATCTATTTGAACGTGTTTCCATCTACCTCCTTGAAACTTTTGTCACCATTTTGCTGCGGTTGCTTCAGATGCTTAAATGAAGGTGCCCGTACTATGTCCTCCCGGTTCAGTGAACAAATTGCAAGCTCAATCAAATCAGCCACGTCCGCTCATCTGCAGAAAGGAGCACCAGATTCTGCATTGGCCAACCCACAAGATCCACTGTCAAGCGGGACGGACAAAGGTTCAAGGGCCCGGAGGTGAAAGTTGACGTGACGGACCGACGAAGAAGCTCGATAAGCAGGGCGCGAACGCGAACGTCTTCAAGGTTAAGATCAAGTGCACATGGAGGTACATAGTTAAAAATACAAACCGGTCTGCAAAATTTTGATCATGCATCCAGTCGAGTAGCAAGGAGCGCTCTTGAATGCAACGTTCGTGCACGACACAGTTAAAAATCAGAGGGGAACGATTTGGAGACGCACGACGTATCAGCAAAAGAGCGGCTGGTAAACTAATAGGAGGGGACTAATAGGAGGGGAGTAATTTAAGGGTGAGAATTGAAGATGCTCGATTGATTGAAAGCCGGGAAAAAAAATGGGCACCACTGTTGTAAGAGGTGCCCAAGTTGTACCTTCTTTGTTTCCGGGACGAGATCATGTGAGGCGTGGCAAAAATTTCACAATCAATTCGAGCAGATCGATCATAGACAAAATCAAGCAGGACTGCATGACTCTTGCGTCACGTTAAGTGAATTCTGACGTCCTAGTCCTTTACGTTGTCTGTTCGTAGCATGTATGACCACGCAGTTAGCTCTGCTGGCATGAGCCGCACAAAGTGTAGGCGGGCATGGATTCAAAGTTTTGAGCGCATGCTGTATGGTGGCGATGCTGGGAATGCAACTTATTCTTCATGAAGCTATTTGTAGGTTAAGATATCTATTGAGTATTCATTGTCTCATGCGCTCGCTCATGTTTCGTGCTATAATCGAATCTAGCATGGCGGCAAACGAGCTTGCGATCATAGCTATTGAGGCTCATCAACGTTAAAAGTCCAAAAACGAGCTTCAACTTCAATTAGTGCATTCATCTTGAACAATCTACTTGCAGCTTCTGCTACCACTCCAGAGTCTGACCAAGATCAAGGAACGTGGAAAAACTTCCATTGAGAAACGTGCGCACCCTCGCCGCTTTCTGATGCAAATGCCCAATAACCTTCAGCTGATAGTGTCAAGCTTTCGGATATATGGAGCTATGTGCACAAAAAGAGCAGCCCTGCTGGATTTGTTCGTAGAAATAAAGGACCCGAAAGCTTCGAGCATTCTGTCACGTGTCAATCCGGCACACTGACAAGGTCGTCTTACCCGCTTGTCACAAAGAGTTTGTAGGGGCCTCAGATCCAAAAGCTGTTTTGCGCGAGGCGCGTACACATACCAGCTTACTGCTCCTCATGGCAGCCTTCTTTGATGTCGGAACCGGTTGAAGTTAAAGCAGCCTGCGGACAACCGCTAGTCTACCTCGAACAAACCTCGTACTGCAACTTCAGATGGATGGTGACGCTTATCTCAGTCTAGCTCAGTCTTCAAACGGCCATGTACGTCCAAAACAGCCGTTGAAGAGTGTCGGACCATACGGCACACCGTCCTCAAGTACGCCGGAAACGTTCCCTGCTTGTTCAACCTTCCCTTTCTCATCTTCCTGAGAAGGCTGATCTCCGGGGAGTTTGACTGGACCAGCCTGGCAGTGTTTCTTGTGGTTTGCCCAGTGAATACGCTGATGCTCCTTGCTGCAGAAAAACAGTACAGTAAGGTAAGATTATCATATTTGAACGGCTCACAGACTTTTGGGATCCTGACGACCTCATTGAGAAAGAGCAGATTGAACTGGGGTCCAACGCCTACTCCGTAATTTCAACGAGTTTTCCGGTCTTTCAACTTTCCGAGTGGACACAAAACTGACGTTTGAAAGTACTCAAAAGCGCAAAGCCCTGAAAGCTTGCTTTAAGCGGCTAATCAACTGTGATCATGTCTTTCTGATCAAGTGCTGTTCACCAGACAACCAAGCAGCTGTTTCTGTTGAATTGAACTGCGACTGACGCGTGCGAAGCCTGGTACACTGCAAGGATGTGAAATACGGACGATCCAACAATTCGGCCTATCCAGATCCTCAGAACTAAGTTCTTCCCGTGACCACGACGGGGGGCGACTAGAGAACGATTAATGACACGTCAAACTGAACCATTCCAGCCAATGCTACGTTTGAACCATCGGTCTTGAGGCCCTGCAGAAATCATTCTGATCGCTTCTTACCTGCAATAGCGGGCAACTTTGCAGGCGGAACACTTTGCGAACTTCTTTCCGGCGAGGGGTTCCGGGCCTGCCGTGCACAGCTTCCACGAGCAGACGACCGGAACGGAGCTTCCGCTAAGAGCCGACTTGGCGGTCCATGTCTGGCCAGTACTTAGGTCTTCCAAAGTCGCTGAAAAGCCCATCAAATTTGCTTCGATGTAACCCCAGATGTCGAAGTCCGGGCTGGCACCGCTGATCTTGTCTCTGTGGGGCCGGAACCCCGAGAGCGCGTTGTGCGCGCGCAGCTTCTCCGTCGCAGGGTCGGACTCGAGCAAGCGGAGAAGGATCAAATTGCAGCGTGAAGCTGGAAACTCATCCCTTTTGGATATGTCCTGGAGCTGACCCAGGGGCGATTGTTCGTAAATAGATGCCAGGATTCTGAGTAGACCCTTGTCCAGAGCCCAGAGCTGTGTATCAGACGAGAAAGCAAGCGTCATCGCTAGACTGGACAAGGCGAGTCGAACCGCGTAAGCGTTTGAGTCGCACAACTTCTTGAGGAACTCAGCGGACAGAAAGAATCCAAGTTGCTCGAAAAGGGTGTGATCTTTCAGTACATCCTGCATGCCATCTCTGAAGACTCGAGAAGCTCGAGCAATGTTGGCCAGGCATTGAAGAGGCGCAACCACAAAGAATAGTCCAGCCATGGTGTCGTCCCCGCGCTTCAGCTCTCGAGCTCTTTGCAACGCGTCGCGCGACATTGTCTCATAGATCTCTTGCGCGCACCGTCTCTCCTCCCCCTCCTCTATCATTCCCAAGCAGCGCTCTACTACAACCTTGCTTGAGGTTAGGAGGGCAGACACCAAGCAGCAGCCTCCATAATGATTGTGTGCTTTGTCTGCATCTGCGTATCTGTAACACCCCGGCGCCCCCGCAAAGATCCTCTCCAGAACAGCGCCCCCTTGGAACGCCGCAAGCTCTTGAGCAAGCCTGGCAGACCTCTCCCTCCCTTCGCTTCCTGGCTGTTCGAAGGCGGTCTCCAACTCATTATAGCCTTTTGCAAATTCACCTAGATCATCTGATATGAGAAGGGCGGCACAACTCTTGACCTTCTCGTCCAGATCCTCTTCCATCTTCCTCAGGAGACTCAGGGCGCACGCAGGCGCAACGACCGGACTAGATGAATACCCTTCTTGTATACGGTATCTAGTAAGAGAAAAGTGTGAGCCTGGTGATCATAACTCCACGTTCTTCGTTTCCTCAAGGAGTGTTGTAAGACTTATGCATGGCACACCTCAAAGGGCAGATGAAGCCATGAACCCCACAATTCGGCTGATTGTCGCCATTGATGGCAGTAGAGTGCAGCCAGCAGCTTTGCGCATATCGGTTCCAACATGTACGTTGCGTCACCTGATGATGCAGAATCCACACGCAGAGCTGCAGAATGTAACCTGCCAAGACGGGCCAACCAATACTTGCCTGGTTCACGTAGGTCGACGAACGCGCATGACAGCGTCTGCGAATGAACTGCACTTCGTCGACTTGCAGCACACCCAATAGAAGCCCAGCCTGCGTCCGCGTTCGCTTACAGTAGCTACTGTAACTGACTGTAACCACAGACTCCTGCAAATCATCTGAAGCTTAGAAGATACCCTAGAGCGAGGACAAAAAGAAGCAGTCTTCGTAGGAGGCACTATTGGACGGTGTCAGTGTGCGTCAGCTTCAAGAACGGCGAAGTTTCGCAGCCCTTGAGACTTCTGTAGAATCAT